CTCCCTGTATATTATTACTCAATTTTAAATACCTTTTTACATAAATTTTTTACAACTCCGTAAACACTGATATCTTCTATAAATGCGCCTAGAGATTTTTTTTCTTCCTACCTTCAATACTCCTCCTCTTTCCTCATCGAAATGTCTAACTTCTATGATGGCCTTGTAGTTGAGTTACAGTCATGGTGGTGGGCTGGTATTGCCGTGGTTCTGGCCTGCTATTATGCATGGCTGATGACCAAGAAATCAATAAGAACGCCTCCGTTGCCACCAGGTCCGCCAGGCCTGCCTCTGTTAGGAAACCTTCCCTTTCTTCAACCTGATTTAAATCACTACCTTACTAAATTGTCTCAAACTTATGGTCCCATCATGAGGCTCCAACTGGGCAGAAAGATCTGTATTGTTATAAGCTCCCCTTCGCTCGCCAAAATAATCCTAAAGGACAACGATGCAATCTTTGCTAACCATGAGGTTTTTGCAGCGGCGAGAGCACTAGTCTATGGTGGGATTGACATTATTTTCAGCCCTAATGGCCCACAATGGAGAAAGCTGCGAAAGATTTTTGTTCATCAATTGATGAGCAATGCGAGCCTTGATGCCTGCTATGCAATTCGCAAACAGGGAGTACGAGAACTGGTGAAGGATGTGCATGGCAAGGCCGGTTCCCGCATTGATATCAGCCAGCAAATATTTACTTTCGCGCTGGACGTAACAATGACCATGGTATGGGGAGGTCCGTTGCATGGGGAGGAAAGGAACAGCATAGGGCCCGAGTTTATACGGTTAGTAAGGGAGCTTGTTGAATTGCTATCAAGACCCAATCTCTCTGATCTTTTCCCTATCCTGGCTCCATTCGATCTTCAAGGAATCGAGTCGAAAGTGAAGAAGGTGTTTCTGTGGTTTGATCAGATGTTTGAATCAGTCATAGCAGGCCGAACGAAGGATAGCGATAAGCGTAAAAACAAGGATTTGCTGCAGTTCTTGTTAGAAATGAAGCATCAAGGAGACGAAGGACGTACCCCATGTTTATCGATGGATGAAATTAAAGCATTGTTTATGGTAAGCCTAACGAAAGTCCATTATCTCTTGCAAATTTTGTTTTACATATGTAATTATGTATATATCTTTGGATTTTATTATTTTATTATTTTTTTATATAAAAAAATTAATGTTTGTCATTATAGAGATTTAAATCTATAAATGATTTTGACTTTGAATTAAATTTTTTAAATTAATAACTAAGCTCTTTTTGCTAATATATATTTCTTATTTGAGTTTATTCTATTTTACGACATGCAGGATATTTTACTTGGGGCAACAGAGACTTCATCAACCACGGTGGAGTGGGCAATGACAAAAATGCTACAGCATCCAACAAAAATGAGAAGAGTGAGGGAAGAAATTGAGGAAGTGGTCGGAGACCAAAAAATTGTGGAGGAATCCCATTTGCCCAAACTGCTATATTTGGATGCAGTCATAAAAGAGACACTCCGGCTACATCCAACGGTCCCCTTCTTGGTGCCCCGCAACCCCAGCAGGGATTGCTGTATAGCTGGATACACAATCCCTCAGGGCTCTAGAATCATGATTAATGCATGGAAAATTCAAAGGGATCCTGAGGTTTGGAAAAATCCTTCGGAATTTGAACCGGAGAGATTCTTGAAAGAGCCAAGAAAAGGTGATTACAATGGAAACTTTTTCAGTTTTCTTCCTTTTGGGTCTGGAAGGAGAGTCTGTGCTGGACTTCCTCTAGCTGAGAAAATGATAAAGTACGTGTTGGCTACTCTGTTGCACTCTTTTGAATGGGAAATACCGGCTGAGGTTGAGCTTGATCTATCTGAGAAATTTGGACTTGTTATGAAGAAAAGGAACCCTCTTGTTGCCATACCTACTCCAAGATTAGCTACTTTGGAGCAATACTACTGAGGCTGGATCCTTGATAGCATGTACCTGACATCACGAGGAGTAAGTAATCAAATATGTAGCATTATTAAAATGTTACTTATTTCAACATGTAATGAGTAAGAGTGCTTCTTGTACTCTAATAAATAAAATTTTTTTACTGATAAAAAAAAAAAACATGTACCTCACATCGCAAAACTCATTGCAAAAGAAGGGAAATCGACTTAAGTAATATTATTATCATATGTGTTTTTGTGAGTGCGCCAATACCTATGAGTGTGTATGCGATTAAGGATATGATTACCCTAATTTTGTGCAATTGTTATGTTTATATAAGTATGATCCTTTAGCTTTTTTGATCAATTTTAAATTCTTAGACATATGTATGATTGCTTAACTTTATCTTTTTTTTTTAATCATTAAATAAAATATTATTAAAAAGGTACAAGAAGTACCTCAAACACATTCTACATAATTATAAAATCTCAAAATAAGGATTTCTATTTTAAAGACTACATTTGGACATATATTGCAGCATCCTATACCAATCAAATGCTTTAGCACACTTCAAGGGATTACTTGACTATTCATTGTAAAGAAAATGTAAATCCCATGCCTCTGTTGCTCTGAAAATACAAAAGAACACATTTTCTGTATTTTTGCATTGAAGAATCCCAAAGCCAGTTGTCTATATGCCTCCTCAACTGTATTTGGAAGGAAAGCCACGTATTCCCACTAACTAAAACATTTCATCCAGACTTGATGGACAAACCTGCAAGAAAGCATGTGTCCTTCGTCCGCAACTTCTTCTCCACATTTCCCATAACATCGCCCTCCAGTTGGAAACCTCTCCTTTCAAGGTTGAGTTTAATTAGTTGGCAATTTGTCTAGAAAAAGTCTCCAAGCAAAAAACAAGGTATTAAATATGTGTTTTAGAAGAAGCCGACTCATAAAAACACTAGGCCATGCCAAAGAATTTTAGTGGTAATGCTTACCTATAGCTTCTCAAGTGCAGCATCAAGAAGCACCACCTTTTGTAGAGAAGGGAACTAGGAGCCACGGGATGGTCATCTCATCAGTACATTTCTCGTTAAGAAGTCGACCAAGTATTTTTTTGCATTCTATACATTATTATTATTATTATTATTATTATTTATAATTAATCTCTTTTTTTTTT